ATGTTAGTTTTGTTTCTGAAACTCATGGAGAAGCAATACATGAGTTAAATGAGTTAAAAAAAAAAAAACTCCCAAAAAACAAACCAGGAAGAGAAGCAGCTTTGCATAGAAAACTACATCCAGTTTCAGGCTCGGCTGTTGTAAGTTGCCATTAGGAACAGGTCATTATTTAAGTTTACAGAGTAGCTGTTCCAAGTGTCACTAATAACACTGGTATTAAAGGGAATTAGGGGGCGGAAGATCTTCTGTTTTCAATCACAGAAAAGACAGAAATCCTTTTAATTATGACCATGCCAATCCTCATCTTTCTAAAGCAGCTAATTACACGTCAGAAGGACACCCAGGCATTCAGAAGAGCTGCCATTGCTTTTTACTGCCATGCTCTTATGCATTTATCCTACCCAACCCAATTACCCTGGCTACATTTTGAAAAGATTTCGCAGAACCGTGCCGTATGTTTCGATCAGCAGAATACAGCCGCTTGCATTTAATAAAAGAGGGAAGAAAGAATAAATGGCCCAGGGAGAACATCGTGCCAAACCAGCTGAGTGCGAGATGCGCCGGACATACGGAAACATCAAAGGCCCATTACGCAGTTCAGTGGTATCAGCTCACTCATGCCTAAGCTGTTGGCCAGAGGACTCCAAAGCTTACTGGAAAGAACAGGGGATGGCACAACGCTTGCAGCAATCACCCATTAGTTAGTTGTCCGGATCAAAAGAAAAGAGGCATTTAAATATGTTCTGTGGGTTCTTTTCCCACCCAAAATGACAAGTCTTTTTCTGCTTCCACAACATAAGCTGTCAAGATAATCGCCTAAATACCACACTGAACGAGCACGTGGCAGACATCATGGACTAAGAGACACCTTGAGAAAGCAAAACGTATTTGGTTACTTTTTCCAGTAAGTACAAACTAAAGTATGATATGGATTTTCATAAAGAGAGCGTGGCAGAAGCTGCTCAAGGAAAACAGAGCGCAGTTTAGTACTGATTATTGTAATTGTGTCAATCCCATCTGAGCTACTGTATCACGTACGCTCAATAGATGGATGGCTACGTGAAATCAGGCACGGACAAGCAATTCTAAGCTACTTCTGAGTTATAAAACCTAAGGCCAAGGTTAGGAATAAACAACTCCTTAGATGTTTGGATTTTTCTCCTCACACCTCTGTTTCACTGGTGCCATTGAGAATACTTTCGTCTGATTGATTTATATCTGCTGGACAAAAACCAACGTCAAAATGCTGTCATCTGTTGACAGTCCTCATCAAAAAGACCAAGTCCACTTGTCTAGTTATGACACGCTTCTCGCAAAGGAGAAAAATAATTTTTGTGTATTTTAAATTCTAATTTATAGCTGCCATCTCTAGAATGCTTTTTTTTTCATTCATGTGCAATATCTTTAATTGGACAGTTTAAACCCCATAAATTAGACAACACTAATAGAAACTAAAATGAGAGGTTTAGGGCTATGCTTTTCGGCTTGCCAAATGCCTGTTGGCCAATAGATTCAATATCCTGAGTAAATATCCCAGCTGCACAAAAGCCCAAGGGGGAATGTTTTATTTTGAAACGTCTCTGCAACTCATCTCCTTGGGAACTGCAAGGTACTTTTGGTCAGGCCATCAACTTTCCCTTCCAACAAATCACAGTGAAAACACCTGACCTCACGAAATTCCTTTAAATTAGCCAGGATCACGATACAATCCTGACAACTGCTACTAAAAGGCATTAATACGCATCAAAAGCCACAGCTGTCTCCTAAGAATGAATACATGTTAGGTCACCGACAGATAACACAGGTTGCAAGACCAATTCTGCCAAGAAAGGTTCCTGCCAAATGATAAATGCTACACCAAACTCAAGATTATTGCCTACAAGCTTAGGACTTTGATCAAAATAGTATTACCAAGTAAAATAACTTCAAGGAAAGCAAGAGCTACGTGGGCGGGAAGCCCTGTCTAAAGTAAGAGCTACGCAATGCTCAGGCTGGGGCGGGAGGAGGAACCTACACAGTCCTTTCACAAAAACTACCACCTGAAATGAGCAGAATTCCTGGGATAAAACGGGAAAATCTTCCCCTACTAAACATCCACGGCTATTAGTCCTGTGGGCAAAGCCTCACACTGAATCCTAATAAATTGGAGAGAAATCCAGCTCTGCATCTGAGTTAACGTTACACAAAGCGAAGCAAAATCCTGCATTAAGTGCTTTAGGAGCAGTGACTTTGCATTTTGCAAACTCTTACATTAATTTTGCTGTTTTTATTCAAGGGAAAAAGAAAGAACGGTTTCCCTATGAAATCCTACTACAACTACCACGTGGCTCTGAGTGACTCAACTACCCTGGGGGAAGGCCTGCAGGACGCTTGCTTTTTATTTCTTTGCAAACAGCATCTCTCCGTAAGGGAAAAGCTTTTATATCACATAGGGGAACTGAAAATTGTAGTGAACTCATCTCCATGTCCCTCTGCACTTTAAAGGCAGGAAGTAACATTTGGGATACTAACTCATCCGAAGCCATTCTACAGTGTCAATTTGTGATTTCACCTCAAAATAATATCCAAATCAGACGTGAAATCTGTCTAATTCAGTATGTTTTCTCTAGCAGTGGCCAAGAGAAGAGACTTACAGAAAGAGGATGAGAATCCAAGCAAGTATAAGGTGTCTCTTTCCCAGTTATACCATGCCAGCTTCTGATAATCCACAGTTAAGGATTTCCCGAACCAAAAAAGCTTATCATAATAGTCACCAGTGGGTTTAAACTAACTACAGTTTTACCACTAATACGCTCAGCTATGTGAAATTTTTCAAGTTCCCACTCACAGCAGCAAGACAATGAAAAAACCACTCAAAAGAAGGCTAAAACTGAGCTGCAGCACAGATGTTTTGAAAATACGGAAAACTCGATCAATTTGATGTTAGCCAATGAAACAAATAGAGTAATTCAAAATTCCCTGAAGAACTGTATAAACAGAGCAGATAATTTATGGAATTTGCTACTTGTGCCTTGATTGGAACTTGGAGCCCGACTCTGCAAATAAAGCTCTTGTCTTATGGGAGAACAGGCAAAATAACTTTTTATGAAAAGGTAAAACAACAACCAAAAAAAATTAACAGAATATCTTTAAACAAGTCAACATGTATAGATCAGAACTAGAAAACACCTTCTTGACCTGAGCAGGTTTGTGCAGAATCGTAGAATAATTTAGGTCAGGAGGGACCTCTAGAGGTCTCTGCGCCAGCCTCCAACCTCAGCTGAGTTTTCCCATTGCCTTTCTGGGCCACAGTTCCACTGTTTCACCACCCTCAGTGTGAACATCTTTTCTTTAGATTCATCTGGAATTTTCCTAAGTGCAACTTGTGCCCATTGCCCGTCAACGTTTGCTATGCACCTCTGACAGCCTGGCTCTGTCTGCTCTTAAACCACCCATGAGAGAGTTGAAGACCAAAATAAGCTCTGCCCTCAGAGGCAACCTGAACAAAAGTTGCTCTCTCAGTGTCTCAATGCCTGGCTTGTGCACTAGCCCTCTAATTTCGGTGGCCCTGCGATGGACTTCACCCTGTTTGCCCAAAATTGGACACAGTACTCCAGATGTGGTCTCACAAATGATGAATAGAGGGCACTACTCACTTCTCTTGACCTCCTGACCGCTTCTCCTAGTGCAGCCCCATATGCTGCTAGCCCTAACTGCTGCAACAGTGAGCTGCTGACTCACGGTCAACTCGTTCATGTCCGATATAAGAGTAATGGAATTATACTGTAACAATCTGTATGTTTGTAGGGTTTTAGGGGATGTCTCCAACTCCGGGGCATCAAAGAATAAGATGTCTGCTTGTTGCTACGCTTATTTATTTTGATCAACTAATAGAGCTTTTGCAAACATCTGGGATCTCATACTTTAGGAGAAGACAGGGAGAATTTGAAACAATATAAAAAAAGAAGCGGAGGTAGAAATTGTTGTTTTAAAAAGATGGTGAAAGACAATGACTCAAGTAGTAAGGACATTACGAGCCACAAAAATAACAACCAGACCTTACTCTACAAAGTTAAAAGCAATCTGTGCACACCACAGAAGAGGAGTATCTTGAATATTTTCTTCGCTATTCACAGAACAAACAGGTAGCTCTAGTCTGCAACCAGAGAACAAACTGCAGAAATTTCAGACTGGTTACAATAAATTGCTACTGTATTGCAGTGCTACAAAAAAGAGGCTCAACTTTCATAAAAATCCAGAGACAAACACAAAGACGACTTCCATACTGTAGAAACAAACCTAGAAAAAAGACTAAACTCCAGGACACACACACCACCAATTCTCGCAGCTACTCAAGATCTGGAGCATTTCTCCTGACATCGTCACACCCGCTTTTGCTCCATTCAATCTCATTTACACCAAATCGGAAAGTTATTAGCCAGCTGCCCATTGTCCATTAGGAACTTCCAGAATAAATGACATAAGCTGCCATCAGCATCCTGATGACAGTCAAAGTCCAACTCCTTCCTCGTACCTCTTGGTGGCCAAAGAAAAGTCAAAGGGGATGGGGCAAAGCTGGGTGAAAAAAACAAAAACACACCATGGAAATAAGTGTCATTTGTTTAGCACAACTGATTCCCCAGGCTTGTTATTTTCTCTGGTGAGAAAATGTGGGAGAGTGGCACACTGCTGTTTACCAGGAAGCCACAGCCAAGGAGGATCTGCCAGTCTTCCAGAGGTTCACAAGCAGTTTATCTGTTTAACCTTCATACTGGACACTGACGCATTACGAGACCAGGAGCTGTCTGACAGTGACTGACGGAATTAAGGACAGATTATTCTATACTAGATGGTATAAATACACAATTTTAGTGGTGTTACTTTGATTCTTGCATCAAATGGTCCAATATTCAGGACCTAGACATTCTAGCGCTATTTTTATTCTTCCCTATTGCTTTAAAAAGGTAATACTTGAAACAATGACTTCTTTTTTTTTTTTTTAAGATGCTATTGTAAGCAATATTTCTTTTAAAATTGCAGCTGTCCAACAGCTTGAGTCTGTTCTTTTTAAAATGAAACAGCCAGAACAAATGGTGGTGGCAATCCCAACATAAAGAGGCCATCGATTATTAAAATCTCCTTACAATAAATCGTGGATGTTGCTTGTCAGCTTGGTGTGTGACTGTAGTATGAATAAGTAGGTAAAATTCCACTAAGGCTATAGTTTGCTCCATCATTCTGCTGAGCAAAAATAGAAATAAAAGTTCTCCTCTTCCTTTCATTCCTTAGTACCAAAACACTCATACACACACTACAAAAACAAAACAAAACCCAACCTGCAATGGTGCAATGGCAGCTGATCCAATCGCTGTCTTTCCTGAGTCTGTCCTGATGCTACTTACGAATTTGCCTACTCAAGAAATGCAATAAAACAGAAAAGGACGGCTTCATTCTGCTCCAGTGATCTATATCTGAGGAAAGCACATAAATTTTCCAATGAAATCCATAAATGAAAGACGGGGCCAAGCCCTACCTATATATCTTTGAAGGTACAGAGACAAAGAGGTGCCAACTCTGTGCCCTCTGAAAGCAAAAAAATCTCCTCCACACTTACCTAAGCAATTTTCACAAGATTAACAGATGTAAAGATGACCTAGTTAGCCTATGCCTTGGAGGGGTTTAGGATGGCTAAAAACCTGCTGAGGAACCACACTGTAAGAGTTCGCAGTGCTATCTGATAGTTAAGGACAAGGAAGGGAGGAGGGATGTGGACAAACCAAGGCATAGCAACTTCCCTTCATTCCCTCCACCTTTACAAGCGGACAAAAAAAGGAAACCCATCCTTCTGAACTGAACTGAGCTATCTTCCCCTCTTAAGCTACTCCCACACTAACGGGAAAGATAAAATGGAACGTTGTGGAAACACTATGAAAATTTTTATATATCTATATACAAAAATTTACATAGTTTTTTCTTTGTTCAGTGTAACCTAGTCCTGCCCGTCTCTAACACTTCCCGTGCTGTTTCCATTGAAATGTTTCCTCTTACCGGCAGCAACATATCATTTTATCAGGATGCCAGGAGATCATTTCCACACAATGCCAGCAGATGTAATTTTCTTAGATGCACACACAGTTCATCATTTAGATACTAGATGACAAGGTGATCGCAGGGTGACTCTGTAATGCAAGTTTGCTGTTTGGTATTTTGAATTCTCAAATGATAAAAAAAAGACTTATCAAATATAAATATCTTTAAGAAAAAAGTAACAAAAGTGCTACATATGATCAAGGAAAACAATTCCATTAGTTTCTGCTACTTAAAGTAGGTTTGCTTTACAAATATTACCACATCCATTATCAGTATGGCTTCCAATTATTAATTAAATTGCTCGTAGCAGTATAGCTTTCTCACATCTTAACAAGGACAGAGTAAAGAGAACACAAAACATTCACACCCCATTTCTCAGGTAAGAGATCCTCCTGCCTTTAAACAAACCCAAAAGTCCATATTTAGGAGAATATTTATGCCATGATGGTTAATTAGCAAAGGTCAGGTGCAAAAGTTCTCCAATAACCTTTCAGGCTAGTCAGGATGTAGGCATTCGTTATACACGGATTTGTAAAAATTCACTCACCCATTTTATGACCTTATTACCTTCCTGGAAAACATTGCTTTTGAAAGTGGCAAAAGTGGGGAGGGGAGTAGGGTGGGGACAGAAAAGGTGAGAGGAAGAATAAAACGAGAAATTGTTAATGACAGATCAATGGAGTCTAGACCTCTTCTGAGCAGGCACTGCTAGCCATGCCAAATAACGAGTAGTGGTTTTGAGAAGTGGACTGTTGTCCATTAGACATTCAGCTCATTTTTCATCTGATCCCAGGCTGGGCTTCAATCATGGTCCCAGAGGCAGAAGGCAGTACTTATCCACTAAGCCACGCAGCTTGTGAGAGCAGAGGATGTCTGTGTTGAATATGTGAACATCAATCGAAATATGTGAATGTGTTTCCAATGGACATTCTCAGCACAGCACCCAAAAGTATATCAAGTCACTGTATGACCAGTGAGGCACGGCTTATTGCAGCTGGAAATCATTTATTCCCAGGCTGAAGTGGGGTTTCTAGTGTTCTTTTTACTCTCTGTTGATACTCCCAATCTGTTGTCCATCGACCCTGTGCCACTACCTCAGCTTGCATCCTTTCAGTCTCAGAGAAGGAAAAGCGTACAGACTATTTTTACACGATGTCTAAGGGTATCCAAGGTTTTAAGTGTAGCCTAAGACTTGTAATTGAGGGCTGTCTAAAATACCTGGAAGCACTTTGAATGCTAAGACAGAGCAGCAAGATTTTTCTAGCCACTGGGGCTGGGGGAGGGAGGTTGATTGGTTGATTGATTATTTATTGGGAATTAATACTGAGAGAGTATATGCAAAGGCTGAGGGCACCATGCCATCTTCACAGAACAAGACCCTAACAGCTAACTGACGTACAAGAAACTGCAAAGTTATACTGTAAGAACACATATTAAGGACCGAGGAAAGTCTGCTAAGGTGCTACGTCTAAAACTAAGTTACGTCTTGCTTTGACCCTCCCCCTTCTCTGCATCAGTCGTCGTCTAGAGCCTCTGTCTTGATCTCGTTGGCTCCTTGCCGGGCCAATGCCAAGATGGTGTGGTTTACCGCTGCCATTTCCACGGCTAATGAAATGGGGTCCTGATGGTCACTATGGCTAGTGCTGTCATCCTGCGTATGCGGAAACGAGAAAAAAGAAGCATTGTTACTCCACAAGCAGAGAATTCAACTGAATAAAACTACTGCATAAAATAATGGACTAATGGCAGCAAATCATACACTCGTTACAGGGGTAGAAAGTGAAAGGAATTCACAAAATCGCTTTAAGACTGATTTCCCTGTCTGTACAGACTAAGGTAAGGGGTGCAGACTGGGGCAAGGGGTGGCATACCCAATTTTCAAGAGATATAAATTCAAGGGGGTGAGTATTGCGAGGCAAACATTCAGCTTTACAGAGAAAAGTGATACACAGTGTATGGACAGAAAACCAAGCTACGATAGGAATCATAATCCACTGCACAAATTCATGTTTTGTTTACATTTTGAATGCTGTACGCGGTTCTGGTCATCCCGGTTTAAAGAAGACTTAATAGAACTAGAAAAGGTACAGAGCAGGGCAACCAGGACAAACAGGCATGGGATGGCTTCCATATGAGGAGAGACTAAATAGACTGGGATTACTTAGCTTGGAAAAGAAATGGCTGATAGGTGATACGGTAAATGCTTATGACAATTAATTAGTAAGTAGAGAACAATTATTCACTACTTCTCACAATCTAATAAGGAAGGACACTCATTGAAATTATTAGGTAATAAATTCCAAAGAGGCAACAGAAGCATCTCTTCACTTATCACAGTTCAGGTGCGGGATTCACTGATCTTTAGATCGGCCAAGAGTAAAAACAGCTTTAAAAAGGGACTTAGACAAATTCATAGAACGTTAGTCTACTAGTAGCTATCAAAAATGAGAGTCTGGATCCTACAGAGAAATTAAATTCTCCTAAGTATAGGGAAAAACTTACAGGCAGTCCAGTATGAAAACCTCCTAGACGGCTATGGAAAACAGTGCAATGATTTCAGGGACTGGATCTACCATAATTCCAAGATCTAGGTGAACATTTGCCAGGTTCTTGAGTCCACTGAACTAAGTGCCAAATATTTCTTCACATCTGTTTTCTAAAGGGCAAAGTCTCTCAGCTGTAAGAGAACCATCGGGTTGATGGCTGTGACGTTTGGCAAGCAGAACTAAAACAGCGACACTTTGCCTGCAGTGAAACCTTTAAAATCAATGAACAGAAAGGGCTACCTTCTACAGGGGCGTAACGGCCATACTCTGTCAGACCAAAAGGTCTGACTAATCTAGCAGAAGCATTATAGGGAAGGGTGCATGTTTTGGATCCTACGTCAGAAAGAGGGCCTGGTTTGAAATAACAGGAATGAGAATCAGTAATACGCAAACTGTAATCCTAGCTGTCACATACATTCCTCTGGGACCTTGGGCAAAATCAAGGTGTTTACCCCTCTTTAAAATGGGGTACTAATACTTACCACACCATGATCTCGCCTTTTTTTTTTTTTTTCCCAGAAAGGAAATGATAAACATTTATCACTCTTCCAATAGCCATTAAGTGCTGCACTGGCAAAATAATTCACATTTTTCAATTAAGATGGCTGAGAGAGACAGAAAAGCCAGGATTTAGTAAAACCCTGCAGTTACAGGAATCCATCCATTTGCAATGAATACAGGGCAAATATTGTGATGTGCACACGCAATGCTAAACATGTGCACACACTCCAAGGTCCTTTGAGTAATCTTTACCATGGCAAGAAATTGTAAGAAACAAAGTCCTGCCTTCGGGAGTTTTAGTCACTTCATTAGTATTTGGGTGAACTTTGTGTTTTAAAGCTTACCTAGAGTTTAAATGCTGCTGTAGAAAACAGAATTTATGGTTTTAACAGCTAAGAGATGTTAAATGGTCATCAGGAGAGCTTGCCATTTAATCTGCTTCACCTCTAGTGCCTGATTATACTTCATAGAGGAGCCTAGCTAGATTACTGAGAAAAGGAATGTTTAAGGATTCTGAACAAAGATTTTTTTAAACATTTTAATATTCAGTTTATTACTTTTTGCAAAGAATTTTGGATAACACATAAAAGAAAAATAGAGTTTGGGAGTCTAACTAACACCTCATCTTGAGTATTCAGTTCCCGGATCTGACTGACAGGGAATTAACTGTGCTTGGCAGCAGCTTCAAAACATTTGACAACAGTCTTAGAGCAGGCTCTCATCATCTACAGCTAGCTGAAGGCTGGTTCCACCAAATCTCCTGGTGATGACCTATAAAGAGGGCCTAAATGCCCATCAGAAGTGGAATGGCTGGGAATGCCTCTGACAGATGTTTGTCGCATTGGGCCACAGCCAAGTCTGCTAGGCACTCATTCCAGGACGCTCAGGTACTAACACGCTCCACCAGCAACTCTTACAGAAGGAGACCTACCAATTTCTCCCGAACAAGTCAATTAAAACCAACCAGCCCACCCCAGGTGCTGGGCGCAACCCTGAACACAGCTAATATCAAAATCAGAACCAAGCAAATTAATCGTTCAACAAGTCCACCGGTGTCAAGCGCACACATCCCTGGTGGGGTTGGCCAACACTGACACCTGAGGGAAAATTGGGAAGGGGGTGCAATACCTGTCAGGAAGGTGTGTGGAGGAAGGGTCACCAACTTTAGGGTAGGTGAGGGCTCAGAGTGCGGGAAGGGGTATTCTTTTGCTAGAGAATTTAAAAAAGAAGTTGCTGTCAAGGGTTAAAAATAACCAAGAAAAATAGAGAATAGGCAAGAGTTAAAATGCAAAAAGGAAAAAAAGACAGACAGATAATATGTAAACAATCCAAATAGTGGCACATGGTCACAGAACAATATGCAGCAGGTATGGGGCCAACTAAATGTCAACCTTCATTTCATCAAATCCTTTCCCCCCGCCCTTCACCCTATGTCTGTCAGTGTCCTAGGGACTCATCCTGAGACGCTCCTGAAAGGTACTCCCACAGACCTCCATAAGAACAGAGGGAGCTCAGCACCTTGTAGGAGGGTGCTCAGTATTTTGCTGGGGAAGGTTGACACGGGATTATAAAGTGTATTGAGCAGGGGCCTACTGCTGTACTTGTCTGGGTGCCAGATAATCAACTTACAATAGCTGTAACCCAGGCTGTAACGAAGACATTTCTTGCAGAAGGAAATAAAAGAGGCGAGAGGGACACACATGCCCAGTTTTGTAGGGAAGCATGTCTGTGTCTGATATACTGGAACAACTGTTAAAGACCTGTACATCTTTCCATGAGGGTGAATAACTAGAACAGTGCCAGGGAGAGCTCAGGTTATGCACGGTGCACTGGGTGAGTTAACACTCTCCTAACATTTTCATACATTGCGTGTGGCGTGAATGGTGTAACTTGCTTGTTTGGAGCAGATCCTCCTGTCTTCTTCTACCTTCTCTGCTTCTCTGCCTCCCTCTGAACATCTTCCCTCCTCCTCCCCATTGCGTACTTGCCAAGTGTCCTGTTGTATGACAATAAATCCATGTGGGTGAATACTGGTCTCTCAACACATTCAAACAGGGGAGCTGTGCTCTTCCACTTTCCCCATTACAATTACATAAAAGCAAAACAAAAGCAAGAGACATCTGATTTGCGAGAGGCAGAAGGCCTCTTGACGTATCACATGTAAATTCTCCCTTTGTGGGTCACACGGCAGAGCTGCAATGCTTACCTGCTCTGAATAGTCATTGCCATCCACATCGTCGCTGTTGGAATGACCGCCCGGACTCTGTACATCTATTCCATGGCTCTCCAGGATTGCTGCTTCTTCGAAAAAAGCAAATGGATCCCTAATTCATCTGATGCATTACAGTAACTACAAGCAACTATTTTTTCCAAGAAGTTAGAATAACTGGAGGGACAGAATTGTTTCTTAGCCTCTTCCCATTTACTCTCCAGTATTTGGGGAGGTAGCACACGTACAGAGATACCAGTTTGCCTGAAAGCCTTCCCTGCCAACTAACTTCCCTGCCTTGTTTTCCAGTCGGTCCAATTAGAAATCAGATTAATTTCTAACACACTGGAATGCCAAAGGCATTCCCTGTAGATCTTCCCACATAGTTTGGATTGGCAGGACTTGAGGGTAGGGAGTATCTGAAAACAAACGGAGAAATTTTTAAAAGCACTTACGGGATTTAAAAACAAAAGTATCTTCATCTTCTAGTACGATCCATGTGTCCAAAGCTCCCTCTGGTTCTTTTAAATCTCCTTGCACCCCTCCTCCCCATAACATAAAGCACAGATACAGCTGTAACTCCACCCACCTTGGACTAATTGTGCTTTGTCCTTCCCCCATTTGACAGACAGGTTTTATTTTTTAAAAATAAATTAAGATTAAATTTCAATAACACATTTTAAATGCTGTAAAAAGAAATTTTTCTTCTTGGCAAACGTGGCAAAGAGAACTTTAGCCTCTGCTAAAGCAGAGCGCAAAAGAGCATAACGCACATTTGACATTTGCAAAAATACTTGTTAGCAAGCAGATATGGATTTTTGTTCATGTACATATTGCAAACTCAGTTCTGCATAGTACCTAAGTAGGTACACAAAATTTTGCAGGCATTACAGAAGTTTGTTGAATCCTGGCATTAACATGAGTTTGTTCTCACTACAACATCTAATGTTTATTCACATCAGAAGGTGTACGTCTTACAAGTTCAAAGGTGCTTCCAATTTCCTTATAATGAGCTGTTAACGCACAGGACTGGCAGGGCTAACTCTGAAGTGACATCTGTTTTAGCCTGATCATCAATAAATATTTTTACTTTGTTCCAGCTATTTGTCACTGCGCAACCCCACAGAAAGCAATCGGGTGGCACAGGTACAGCCGGAATAAGAAGTTGGCTTGCAGAACACCTTTGGTGCTGCTGGCTGTATCCGACATGTAAAGCAATTCAACTGGACTCTTAGATCCCTGTAGGATCTAAGGGATGGCAGTAAGAAAGACAAGACCCCCAGGTTCTGGCTGAAAAAACAAGCACGCTTCAGTGCGACACAGACACAAGAAAACTTACAACCACATAACAGCTCTTCACAAGGGCCCCTTTTCATTTAAACTGCATGTTAAGGTAGCGAACTTGCAATATTCTCATTTCCCTTACTTCCAATGCAAATATTCTGAGATTTTATTTCAGATTTTATACGGGAAATTCAGAGGAGCCTGAGCACAGGGAAATATGATTCTCCAGTCACTGACGAAATTCTAACCTTTTTTTTTAAAACTAGTCGTCCAGTGAAACTTCATAACCACGTCATTTTTCCTGCATTGGTGATGATTCCTATAACGTAAATTCCTACTCATATTTCAGAAAAGATCTGGCAACAGTGAGAGACTTGCTTTGAAAAACTGTTCCACACTTTGGACGGCTTGTATTGTCACTAACGCAGTCTTAGTAATTTCCATCTCTCCTGAACAAGCCTACGTTACTAAACCTTGAAAGCAGGCTCCCTGATACATTACCGATATTGGCTCTTCTCTTGATTTCCTTTCTTCTGTTGGCAAACCAGTTGTACACTTTAAGGGAGGTAACTCGCTCCAAATCCGATAGCTTTTTTCCTATGAAAGTAATAGGGAAAAAAATTACAGCAGTGTTGCTCACTGGATTCCAGAGGTAGGCATAGACCCTTATGCGTGTGACAAACTCTTGAAATACAGACAGCACTGAAAAGCTATAATAACTGAGAATAAAGTGAATTTTATGTGAACCAGAGTACTGTGCCCAGATGTTATGGCAATAAATGCCAAATATCTCTCTAAAAACAAAGTAGCCTTTCTTCTTTTTTTTTTTTTAAATCTGAAATACAGGAATTTCTTTGCAGCTTCAATCCACTAAATCCAGAGCTGTGGGAGAATAGAGGGTTGCTTTTCTAGCTCGAGCACAAAACGGAGATTCAAACAAAACTCAAGTTCAATTCACAGCCCTGCCACAAACTGCATACCCTTGAGCTAG